CATTTGCAGTAACAATGCTGTTAGGATCTGGAGCCACTTACAGTTTTATTCTTGGGTTTTGAGTCACAATTAGAGCTTTTCCAAATGTTTGGGTTTGTAGGCACCATCCGAATGGATCCTTAACTTGGAAAGCTTAGATTGTGTTTAGTTTCCCTCTGTGGAACTACCTTAGCAGCCCATCTTAAATTGCTGCTGTGGAAGCTATCCAGGGCATTAAATGCTATTGAATACTCACAAAGCATGTGCCAAGGAAGAAAAGGAAAACAACTGTTCCCTAAAATATTCAAGCTCTAATGTAAAGAACTTTTAACAGACAGAGGTGCTCATTTCAAGAAGCGATTTCAATCAAACTTTCCTCCTTTGTAAGATCTAAGATCAATATTATACTGAGAAGAACACATGGTTCAGCAAAGCTTTGAAAGCATAACACATAATAGCTGTGGTAAGTTATAAGTCATCAAGATTTTAAAATAAGAAACACTTGTGTCTTATTGTTTGTACAAACATATGCACACACACACACAACACTGCCACTGAGATAAAAGCTAAGCAAATGGTTCCAAAAATATGGCATAAACAAAGCTAAAGTAAGCGTAGTGATACATGTAGTCATCTCAAGACGTACATATCTTATAAAGAGAATGAGTTGCATTTAAAATACTGCACTTCAAAAAAGAAAAAAAGATTATCTAAATTCTAAAGATATGGTTGTGCCCCTACTACAATACTACARTAATGCTCAGCTCTCTTATCAATTGCATATAGCCAAAAAGCATGGTTGCATAGTGGATAAAAATATAACATCTCCAAAATGTTCCAACAATGTACTATAAGCATAGCAGACTATTACCTGCCTTTCCATAAATGAGGTTAAAGGACTAGTTTAATTGGTTAGTTGAGATATTTCGTAGAAAGTAAGAATGTTTTACATTAATATTTGACACACAGGGAGGGCRAATGAAGAACAGCCAAACTGGCTACAGTTTCTCTAGATCTCACCATTTCTTATTAGGCAGCTTTCAAGCTACTTTCCCAAAATGAAAGTGATTGTTCTGTTGCCAATGTTTGTTTATTTGAAATAGCAATAAAAATTACACTAAATAATATTCTCCTTCCCCATTCAACTCTGTGTAATTCAAGTTTGGAATATGATGTTTCCCCTCACTTTGTCTATTATTGAAATATATTTGCATATTATTGCAACACTTTACAATATACTTTWTACTTCATTATTTTTGCACTTTAATAATAATTCAATAATAATACTTTACTATTATTGCAATACTTTGGAGACAACGGTTTGAAAGCAACTGTAACAAAGAGGATCTTTTGAACACAAGAGGCTGAGACTGCTCCCAATTCAAAGTAACTTCGGTCTGTGTCTAACCCAGCAGTCCTGAAAGATATTCTAAATTTTGGGGCCCTAGTGTATGTCCTGACTTCCCAATAAATTAATATTCACATGTGCATTTGCCCATTCTTCCTGTTCCTCCTCTCTCTTGGTGCACATGTTCTGGCTGGGCCCACAGTTCGGACAGAAACATGCTACAGTCATTTACCCCTTATTTAAATGCAGCCATGAGAACCAGGTGACCAGACTCTAGACTACTAGATGCATCTCAGCCACCTGATGACTTCTGTGATACATCAGCCTGCTAGAAATTAGTACAGTAACTATTATGGAGGTTGTAAGAAGTCATATATTCATCAGTCCCTACAGACCTGCCAGGATTTAGTCCTCGAATCACAAATTTGGCAGACAGGCAATTAAGCATTTATTGGAATTATCATCGGTGTGAAAACTCTGTAACCGCCTTGCTACTACTGCAAGCTTTCCACATTAGAAAATCGCATATTCGCTAAGCTAAAGACATACGTGGTTGCTTTGTTTCTTTATAAAGAAGAGAAATCTAATGCAAAATTATTATTTGTAATTAAATAGGGATATGCCTCTGTAAACAACTAAAAGTCCTGTCTGTTGCTGAAACTAGCAAGGATGTCAAGTTAAAACAGCCTAAAASTCTGTTTAGTCAAATCAAAACACAGAGACATCCTCCTTACCATTCTCACCACTATCCATCATCCAATTTGAACTTTAGAACCCCAAGCTGTTCAAAATACAAACTGAAATTCTGATCCATATAGTCATCTTTTAAAAATGACACTGATGCCAGGAACTTTAAAGTTGCTCTCACTAGAGGGAACTTAAATTTAATTATCAGGAAGCTGCTGAGGTTCAGTTTTTGGCAGATATATCATGGTRGTTAAGGAGACCGTGCCCTTGTTACAGCCACCACCTGTCAAGGTGCACATTCCATGCCCATGATGAGGTGACAYCAGCAGGGCTGTGCATACTCTTCCCCATAATCATTCTGCTGTTTTCATGAACCTCAGGTCCACTGTGCGGTGTGTTCTGTCCCTGTGGTATCCGGTTATTTTTGAAAATGTCAGTCTATCTTTATTATTCTTCCAGACACAGATAAAGGGAATTTCATCTGGTATGTAGAAAAGAATTGTGTGGGTTTCTATCATCACACAGCAAGTTAAAAAAGACATACCTTTCTTTGGACTTTCTATGCAATATTTTTTTTTTCTTACGATTTATGCAGATATTATCYGTGCTTAAGAAAGGTACATGTGAGAAACTAGTATACAGCCTATGAGGTACAAGCAGAAGGTACTCCTGACTACGGGAGTAAAGAATGATTTACAATTGAAGTATTTGTTGCTGTTTTTGTGTTGAAAGAGGGAAGTACACAAGCAGTAGAAATAAACCTGTCTCATGCAATCAGAACTCAAAGTTTAGTCTTGTGGCAGATGTAAAAAGTATGTGTGCCTATGTGTATGTGCATTGTTTTCTTACTACAGTTGTCTGAGTGCTCACTACCCATTTTATGGAAGATATATTTCTRGTGCAGTCTAGAATTTGTATGTGTTAGTTATATCTGCAAGAAGAACACAGGCAACAGCCAAACTAGCATAGGCTTACTACTTGCAGCCACCTYGCAACATGGCTTGCTGCCCCTTCTGAAAATTTTGAGTTTAATGCAGTCCAAAATTTTGAATATATTAGTCGCATAAAGTGGGTATTCCAGCAGACTGACTGTTGTGTCATGGTTTCAAGAAATGTRCATTACTGTAAGGTTCACAAACAAATGATATACATTCTGCATGGGGAGGAGAGGGAGCAGAGGGGCTTCAGAGATGTCACAACTAATGCTGAAGTCAAATATGATTGCATGAATTTATGTCATTTAACTTCCAAAGTCATTGTCCAAATTCCTTCGGCAAGATTTTGCTTCCTTTAGTTCTGTGAGATAGCAAGCACTCAGTGAATGACTTGCACGTTAGCAGCAGTTTACATACACTCTATTAAAAGGCATTGGAATCATTTGAGATTAATGATGACAGAACAATCAGTTGTATTTTACTTTTAGAAAACTAAGTTTTGGTAGTATTYCCAGTTTACTCTCATGCTAGACCTTTTTAATATTCTGAAGAAAGAAACATATAGGTYTTCTAAACTCGCCTCTCTCAGACTTGCTCTAATATGATTGTGACAGTAAACTCAAAATTAAATGGCAATGTTAACCTGTTAACTAGAATACTATATTGCCTGACAATCTGAGGGTGCTTGAAACAAGATTATTAAAAAGATAAAATTAATTTGACTTCAACTGTCTTGCACTTGTATTTAGACAGAATTCATTTTCTTTAAAGTTTTCAATTAACAGCTTCTAATCGACAAATCATTTCTTAAAAARATCAATGAGAAGGCAAAACTTTTTCTGAAGAATTTCAGGTATGAACAGCTCAGCCTTCTCCCCACCCCCACCATTTCTTCCCCTTTTTCAAGAGACAGAAACAGAGAGAGAAACAGAGAACAGGAGAGGGAGAAAAGAAGAGAGGAGGGAGA